GCACGAGCTGTGTGGCTGCAGAGCACGGGCAGCACTCGGGGCTCAAATGCTGCCTGACTTTAAAAACCCCAAACTTCTGCAGCCCATCCTGCCTCTGTGCTGCGCCCAGACCTCCACCAGAGCTATTTTTATGCTGGATTTGCCACGGGAGAATAAAATCTCCTTTAGAAGGCAGTGACTGCAGCAGGCACTGCAGCACATCCCGCTCTGCACGTCCAACAGGTGATGCCACCTCAGCACCACCCTCTCTCCTCTGGAAATCTCACCTTGGTGCCACTGCCACCACTGCTAAGGGAATGCAAATGCAGGGACTGCAGCAGAGGGAAGAGCAGGTAAGTGATGAGCTGCTGTATCAAGATATAATCAGATTTTAAAGGCAAGAAACAGCAGATGTGGCTGGCTCTTGGAATTACATCTGCAGTACAGAGCAGTCACAACTCCTACTGTAAAAGCTAAACCCACCTACCCAATAAAGGTATGAGCTGCCAGGCCCTGGGACAAGGCTCTGAGTTTAGAGTCTCCTCCTCCACTGCACCTTAAAAGCTCATTCCAATTTATCCAGCACTTCTCCTTTAGGAGCAGAAAATAAAGTGGGTCAAAGGCAGCTTTTCAGCAGGAAAATCAATCTAAAATTACAACACTTGGGGGAACCAAGGCAATGGTGAGAGAGAACATGCTGCTGCTCTCCTCCACCCCTGCATCTTCTCCTGGAAGAGGTACAGAACACAAAGAATTCAGACACCCTCCTTGCTCAGGCCTTGGGAAGACCTCTCACTTCTGCACAACAACTCAGGCCCTGGAAGCAGCTGCAGTAAAACCTCCTCAGCCCCAGCTTTTCCCTTTACCTTGGCTTTGTAACGTAAGAAAGGAGAGTCACTGCTGATGAGAAGAAATACATTCTGGAAACTCAGTCTGCCTCTTGGATCCAAAGAGACTGTGGAGAGCTTCCCCCAGGAATAAATCCCCCCTCTGCCCAGGACAGGGGCACTCTGCCATGGCTCTGGGGGAAGGTTCCACTGCACTAAACAGCCATCAGCTTCACCTTCTTTATTTCTTTTTCAGTGGAAATACAGCAGAGCCCAAACACAAAGCCATTTGACTTCCTGTGGTTGGAGTGTCTCACCTGGGCTGTTTGGGATGACGATGGGGGGCTCTGCAAGCAAAATTTTGGTTTCAGACTTACTGTGTTTTCTAAAAGAGCCCTCAAGGTACAACAGTCTGTTGTGCAGCACTGACTGTTACTCTGTGCTGGAAATCCCTCCCTACCAACACTCAGCCTCACTTTTTGAGCACATGTCGATGCTGGATGTGCTGCTATGCAAAAACTCACATATATAATACTTGCACCAACAATTGTACGCATCCTGTGCTTCCCAGAAAGAGGAGTTGTAAGGGGTATCAACCCAGTTAGTTATCTTAATGAATTAGTGCTGAAATCAAGTTTAACTTCATTTCTAATCTTTTCAGAGGGTGCAGACCAGTAAATTCAGCTCTAAAACTTAGGATATGGTTTTTTTGTCCTCTACAATTTTAAACTCTAAGTTTAAAATTCCTGTTTAAAATTCCTGCTGGCTTTTCCAGTTGCACCTCCCAACCTGCCAGACCACTGGAAGTTCACAGGACGTTCAAAGGCACCATGCACTGATCAGGGGGTTGATGGCTGCACCCTGTGGGTGCCCAGGATCACTGATAACATGCACTAAAATACAACACAGATACCTTCACCTGTCCTAAACTCAGTTCATTACTGAGCCTTAAATTTGGTTCTTATCCTCCTCTCTGACTCATGGGTTTTCATAACCACCTCCCTGAGTGCAGCAGCTCCCTGCAGAAACCAATGACCGCTCCTTAATAACTCCAAATTTTAGTTCTCTTGTGTTGTGCTTTTTCTCTCCCCCAAAAAGCACTGCTCAATCATCCAGTTTCTCCTTGAGAGTTGTTGTGCTCCCAAACTCTATGGCTTTCCCCTCTCCCCCTTTCTTCCAGCCAAGTCTCAGGCTACTGAGAGGATTACTGCAGGTGTGAGCATGGAGACAACAACTCCTGCATGCACAGGCAATTTTTGTTTTCCACCCCCTGACTCTGTGTGTAAAGGAGGCCAAGGGAATCAGCAGGTTCCTGTTTTCCTCTCCACTTGCAAATGTGAAGTTTCCTGCTATGAGATTTCGTGAGTGCCAAGTGCTTTGCCAAAGGTTTTCAGATGATCTGGCTGCAGAGCAAGAAGCGTCAGACATGTCACTGCAAACTAGGTTTGCAGCCCAGTTTTGTCCTCAGAAGTGATCCAAAGGACTTTCAGAGGAACCCAACTGTGCAGTGATCTTCTGCTGCAGCCACTGGTAGTACTTACAAGAGCCCTGAAGTCTAAAATATCCCGAAATTAATCCTATTTGTTTTTATACCTGTCTGGTCTGTCTGCCATCCCTCACTTGGGTGCTATTCCTATTCTGCTAATCAACATGCTGTTGTTCTCTTTTCCTCCTGCTACTTGCATAAGAGAAATATGGAGAAAGGCAATTATTTTGCAAGTAAAACTAGAACCACCAAGGCTAAATCAGGCAGTTTTCTGGCATCGTGGCTCAAAATAAAACAGAGCAAAACCCAGCTTCCTCATGATGAAAGAGCCATCAGCTGCTCTTCTCTCAGTTCTTATTCAGCTGCTTTGGAAACCCAGGGGGCAAATCTTCCCCTCCAGCCTCCCTTGAAGACCTGTGGACAAAATGGGCCGGAGTTCTTATTCTGAAATAATAATTCTCCCCCAGGGCAGCAGAGCCAGGCAGTGCTCCCCTTCAGGAGTGCATCAGTCTGGGCCAGGGCAGGTGCTGGTCCCACACCACCCTCAGCAAGTGTCTCCCAGATGGAACAGCCAAGCCAGCCTCTGGCAGAGCTGATGGAAGGACTGATCTCACCGGAGAAAAGTGAAGCCACAGGGCTGTGACTTTGGGCAGAAGGGGCAGGAAAGCTGCCTGGCAAGGCCACTGTGACACTCAGCACTGAGGTTCGTTCCAGGACCTCGATCAGACACTTGTAGAGAGAAGAGTCTGAGACTCACTCACTCCTCTCCTCTGTTTTTCCCAGTTTCTAAACCCACCCTCCCAGCCTTTGAAAAGTGTAGGGAAGGAGGGAGAGTTCAGCCAAGCTGAATGATCCATGGGTTTGGGACTTGCTCATTCAGCTGTTGGGTGTGGTGATCCAGAAAACAGGGCAGAGCAAAAGCAGACTGTTCTTAAACCTCCTATGAACAGGATGTTTATGACATCACACAAAAAAGGGGGGTAAATCTTCTCCCCAGAATCCCAAAGAAAACAGCACTGGTCAATGCACTGAGGAGTTAAACTGGCTCAGAACATTTAGTCTCTAAATCAAGCAAAAATACTGAGACAGATTGTTCTTGTTCAGCCCTTCCAGCTGCAGCAGAGGAGATGTGTTAGTGACACAGGTGGGAGTGTTTCTGCAGGAAGGTTTTCACCTCCATCACACCTGATACAAATCCATTTTCCAGACTTGTTGCCTCCACTGGCTGCAGGGTCAGACTCACAAAATCGTTATTATTCTGGGAAAGAATAACAGCACAATCTTTTTCAAGTGGCCCAGGCTCCAGTTCCAGCCACTGATCTCCTGCTCTTGGCACTGGCCAGTCCTGGGGGAGACCCAAGAGCTGCACCCTGAGTATCAGAGGGGAAAACATTGTGTGCTGGGGAGGCAGCAGCAAGCAAAGGGCTGGGTTCCTCATTGGTGGTCACTGTAACACCAGAGGAAACACCAGATCATACAATTTTACCCAATTTTCCTAATCCACACGGCTATTTCCCAGGTGATCAATCACATAGAGATGCTGATGATTCAGGGATGCCCAGAAGAGGGAGGGTTCAGAGAACAAGGTGAGACAAGAGAGAGAACCAAAGCAAAGGTGGGATCTCCTTGGGATGCAGAAAGTCTTCAGTGCATGTCTCAGGGAGAACAGTCCTCCCCTGGCCACTGCCCACCCTGTCAGATGGCCTGGAAGGGTGGGGCAAGAGTCACATCTCACACCATCTTACAAGGCAAAAGAAATCTGCATTTTTTGAACCGTGTCTCCTAAACTTCTAAAGGAATTCAATCTCTGATCCTGCCTCCTGAACCCCAGGCAGGAGAGAGAGGAGAGGGAAGTGCAGAAGGCCAAAGGTGACATCTTGACTCCCTGAGGAAGACTCAGGAGCACCCAAAGAATGTGGCAGGAGCTGACGATAGCAGAAAGGGTATCTTCTTATCCCTTTGCACTTCCGTCACATAGTGGGCAAAAAAAAAAAAACATTAAATGCTGAAATCCTCCTTATTTGTAAAAGGCTGGATCATCTCTGGAGATGGCTGGGACAGCAAACCTGCTACAGCAGAAAAACAGAGACAAAATGGTCCTTTGTCTCCTTAAAAAAATAACCAGAGCTGGTCACAGACTAACTGGTGAAGTAATTTTACATCCAAAACTGTTGGAGAGTCAAAACGCAGCAGTGATTTGGAAAAGGGGAGGGCTGACACCTCCCTGTGCCACACAAAGCTCATTCAGATCCCAGAATGGTTTGGATTTAAAGGGATTTTAAAGCTCATGTTGTTCCACTCCCCTGCCATGGGCAGGGACAGCTTCCACTAGCCCAGGTTTCTCCATGTCCCGTCCAGCCTGGCCCTGAACATGTCCCAGGGCATCCCCTGTAGCTGATGAACTTCTAAGCCCCACCAAACCATCTACTTGCAGACCCCACAAAACTGAACTGTTTTTACAAAGAACTGCTTAAGGAGGGAGGCCACAACAGACACACAGCAAAGGCCACCTCCACATCCCAAGAGCACAGAAAACCAGAGCCTCCCTCTACCCCACTAATTTCTTTTGAAACCTTCCTTGCTCCCCATTTTCTGTCAGAAAATAAACACAGTGGAATTAAGCAGAACAAACACAGCAACAGCTCAGTTCCTTGATGCTCTGATCAGCAGTGATTCATTACAACAGGAAAAAGAGGAAAGTCACTCACCCTCACGAAGCTGGCTGGAAACCATCCTTCTTCATCATCGATCTGACCCCACCACCAGTCCTTGTTGGAAGCATCCAGGACCTTGATAACGTCTCCTGCTTTAAACGCCAACTCCCGGTTGGCCATGGTGACGTGATCCCATACTGCCTCAGCACTTACAATGGAACCACCACTGATCAGCTTGGGAGACAGAAAACCACAGTCAATGCATGTCCTGATCCCCGACCCCCACACGTGCACAGCAGCAGACACAGCAAAGCGCTCAGCCAGCGGCCAACAACTGCCCTGCTTCCCAGTCCACGGAACTCCCCCCTCACGGCCCTCCATCCTGCTCCCCTCCATGCAACGGCCCAGCTCCTGGGACAGCAGCACCACCTCCTTCCCGCCACCACGCTGTGTTAGGAGCATGCACATCTGGCAGGGGTACGGCTTCCAGGGACAATTCCACCAGCAGAACGCACACTTCCCAAAAATGGAACAAAACCAAGCGATGGTGTCCTGCAAAGGAATTCTCACTTCAGAGCAAGTTTGCTCGGTCGGAGTGTCAGAGGCTCAGGGGCTTTCCATGCAAATCCAAGCAAAGGCAGCACATGTAACCAGAAGAACACTTTTTTTTTTGAAGTGGAAGTTCCCCATTTTAGTGCTGGTGATGTACTGACATCCCTTGCTTTTGAGATCCTCCAGCTCCCCAGCAGCTCAGAAGGGCACGGTGGCACCCTGGTGACCTGCTCCAGACCTGACCTGGGGCACAGCCCAGCTCAGGGAACCTGCTGGCACTGGCTGTGCTGACAGAGCAGAGCCTGCTGGAAACTGGACTGAGCCCACACCGGTGTCTGACAGATCCTACAGCACACCACTCGTGTGGAGCCTCCGAGCTGGGCCAGCACCGTGGCACAACCCTGATCTTATCACTGAGAGCCACCGAGCTCCACAGAACCACACACCACTACAGAGTGTGCTGAGCTGGAAGGGACCCACAGGGACCATCCAGTCCAACCCTCAGCCCTGCACAGGCCCAGCCCCAAGAGTCACCCCCTGTGCCCCAGAGGATCATCCAAACCCGCCTGGAGCTCTGGCTGCCTTGGGGCTGAGATAGATATGAAACTCCTGCTTAATGCTGGCAGGAAGGACTGATCCCAACAGTGCTGCTTGTGCTTGCACAGACAAACCATCCATCCGTGCCCGGGACACTCACTGCTCCTCTGACTGACAGTCGTGTGTTTTTCAACAGAATAGTAAATTGTGTTTGTGTTTTGCCCACTGCAGGAACTCTGCACTGAGCAGTGAGGCTGCCCCAGCAAACACACCCTTCACCCATATGCTTATTAGCCTGTCAGGGCCACCCTGAACCTCGCTCATTAATTCTGCCCTGGACATAGACTTGGGCTCGCCTCCAAATCACAGTTTCAGCTCACAAGGACAGAGCTCAGCACTGTGACTACTACAGACCATTACAGACCTTCCACATGGCGAGGCTCTTCCAGCCACAGTGTCCTCTCGGCTCAGGCAGGGAACACAAAGCACACAGACCCATCACAGTGGTTATCCAAGTGTAGAAGCAATGGTTACAGAGCTCTTAATGGCTCTTTCCTAAGTCTGGCTCTCCAAAACACCTGCTAATCACCAACTGCACACTGAGAACTTGCAGGGAACCTTCTAGCACTGCTTGAGGGTTCTTGGCATAAAAAGAGAAGGACACTCATGTCCTACAGGCAATCCAGTCAACAGATTAAAGGACCTGATCTACCATTTGCCTTGAACTGGCTTTCCTTTAAGAAATCAAGCTCCTTGGGTTTGGGACAATCAGAGCTGCAGTTCCAACTCTTCAGTTATTAGTCAGCTGTACACAAAGCAACGAGACCTGCAAGGCTTAACTTTCATCCTCAAAACCCAGACAGGTCTAGGCAGTGGGCCTCTCTTGTTCCTGCAGCAAAGTAAAACAATATTCCTCCTGCTTCCATTTCGACAAATCATCCTTTCTAATTCAAAATCAGCTGCAAAAGAAACACGGCTGTACCGCACAGGGGACTTGCACACACGAGCCTCACAAGATCCCCTGACATGGGACAGCAAACACTGAAGAGTCAAGCAATGAGCTGAACTCACAGCAGAGGTATCTCCTGCTTTAGTGTGGGGTTATCCCATGCCTGGGCTTTGGATACAGGGCTGGAAGCAGCTGGGCACCAGAGGGTCCCATCCAAATGAGCAGCACCTGGAGCCAGATGGTGATGGACCCCCAGTTCACCCCAATGCTCAGCAAAGCAGGGTGACTACATCTGGAGAAATAACAGTTACAGAGACTGATTTCTGATTCCAGGGCAACATCTGAGTTCTCAGCCAAGGTAGTGACATGTTTCAGTGCTTCCTCACCATCCCTTGCTCTGCCCTAAATGGAGGGTCCTGGATCTTTTTAGAAATAGGGACCAGTTTAAATGACAAAGACAGATCTGGAGGGGATGAAACTCCACAGCTGAAGAAATCCCCACTCAAGACCAATTAAGAGTCATGTGCTCTTCTGCCAGGACTGAGCTCTTCTCCTTCACCACTGCTTCCCCTCTGCAGTATTTATGGCCCCTGTCCAAGTGTGGTTTCCCAGTTTAAGCAAGTTCTGCCCTCCCAGCCCTGTCCTGGCCCACAGCTCCTCCTTCCCCCAGGCATTTCGCCAGTCCTCTTAGACATCCAGGTACTTTCCCTGCATCTTCCCTGAACACAGATGACCAGATCTGCAAATACTATTCCCAAAGAGACCTTACCAGAGATCTGTGAAACAGCATGAAAAATTTATTCCAGTGTCACAGAAATCTCGCAGTAATACCTCACATGTCCCCCTTTGCCCTTGGCCACCTCCCACCCGTGGCTCACTGGGATCTTGCAGTCAGCTTATCTAAGTAAATGCAGTTGGGTACGTTCTCTTTGGCTGGAAAATCGGTTTTCTTGTCAAAAAATGACTCGGTTTGGCCTGACACTTGTTCCTTTTGTTAATGCCATTGGGTATTTTAGTCTGTTTTCCAGTGATGAGGAACCAGGAATGGAGCTGTTACGCAGAGCCCTGTTCCTGCTGCTTCTGCTTCAGCTGACATAGACTTTGCTGTCACTTCACACACAGGCAGTTCTGGGCACAAACTGCCACAGAAACGTCACTGAAACCAAACTTCAGAGGGACTGTGTTTTAAACCCTCCTCGCCTACTCTGCAAAAATGCATTTCCGAGCCCGAGGCACAAAATCCCAGCCCTGAGGGCGGCAGGGACTGCAGAGGGACAGAGAGGGACAGGGGGTGACACCTCAGCCTTTTTCTGCTGTTAACACAGAGCTCTGGAAGGTGCTTTCAGGGGATGTCAGGAGCCGGGGAGGCTTTGCAAGGTGCTTCTTGATGTCAAGGAGAAAGGCTCCAAGGCCTTGGTTCTCGTGCCAGCTCACAGAAGAAAGGCCCCTCTGGCTGGTCCCTCCCAGCCCCTGGTCCTTACTGTTGGCCCAAGGAAGGGATCCACGTGCCAGGAACCCTGCAAGCAAGCCCTGGCCTTTCAGAATGCAAACACAGCTCAGCCTGTTAAAAGAGGATGGCAGTGGGATGGCAGAACTGGAGTTCCAGCCATCACACGCGCTGAGTCCATTGAGAGAATGTCAGAGCCTAAAATTAAAAGATCCGGTTTAATTTATCTTGCCAGACATCTTGCTGCATCCGTGGAGCCGTCCAGCCCTCTCAGGGCAGGGATATGGAGACAGGACCTGACATCTGCAGCAGCAGGAGATGATGAACTGGAGAAAGGTCAGCATGAAATATTATTTTCTGAGAGAATTCAACACAGGGGCTCTTCACTCCAGAAAGTTCACGTCTCTCGGTTTCAAAGCTGGGTCTCAGCGCTGTGGTCAGAGCCGAAAGACCTTGAAAGGAACTTTTCTCTTATCACTCTGTTATCACCCAGCAGCTCAGACACTCCTCTGGAGTCCTTTTTAACCAGTGAAGAGACACATCTGGAGCGGGTGGGATTCATCTGGGCTATTTCAGCCACCCACCTTCCAGGCAGGTGAATCCTGCCCTAGAGATTACGATTCTCTGTGTTTAAGTGGCTGATGCAGAAGTTTGCACTTCCAGCATCTTACATTCCTCCCAGCTACAATTTGGCCATCCCTAAAATGGGGTAACAAAGACCTGCCTTTAACCATAATAATCACAGTAGGAATAGTCAGATATTAAACAGCACTCCTCTGGACACAGCAGTTTTCTGCGTGGTGAAGGTTGCTGGAAATAGAGTTATGTTCTCCATGGCCACCAGGAGAATTCACAAAATCTCAGCCTTGTAAATTTACAACAATGAGGACACAGATACTTGGGCAAAGCGTCCTTCCCATGAGAAGAAGCAGGCACCGAGAAGAAATGCAGTAGGTGACAAGTACATTCGTTCTGACATACCCTGAACATGGTTTGTCTTCCAGGTGAAAGTCCTAGTTCTTATTAAAATCAATTATTCTTGTCAGTTGGTTGTTCAAACTAAAGAGCCCAAGGAGAAAATTCCTTGGCACTTTCACCACGTAACATCAGTGCAGAAATGGCCAGGAGCGTTTTGGAACAACACACCTGAGAATAACGTTGCCAGTTTTACAGGAGACACCAGAGCACTTTCTGGGGTGGAGAAAAACCTTTCTCAGTGGGCAGAAGACCAGATTAACTACTGGGAGAGTCACTGCTTGCCTTGGGCCCTTCCTCACCTCCCAGCAAACACCTGGGAATGGGCAAAGGTAAATTCCAGGACACACAGGTGAGGGGTCACTTCCATGTCCCAGCACCACAAACGAATTGACTTAAGGAGGAAAAGAAAAAAGGGAAAAGAGACAATGCTCCCCTTAATTATATGCACAGCTGGCCCATTTCTGGCACACACTAAGAACAGGGGGTGTTATCCCTGTATCACCAGGATCACACACACTTCAGCCTTCCCAGGGAATTTCCACACAGGTTTCCAAAGCCCCCTGCAAACCCCCAACAATTCAGTCACAAACCCTCCCTCTGCAGATGCTCATTTAAGGCACTCCCAACACTCAGCTACAACAGGTGAGTGCTTTACAACAGCAAGCAAACTCAGGGGGAAGGAATTAAATCATTCCTATTTAAGGTCCATGAGGATTTTGCTTTCTCTTCCAGGATGGAACGTGGCCACTGGAAATACTGAATTACACTAAG